CGTGGCAACCTTTAGGATTTTTCTCGAGACGGTTGCTAGACGCTGAATCTAGGTACAGCACGTTCGGTAGGGAACTCCTAGCTATGTATTGTGCTGTACGGCATTTTCAACATTCCATCGAAGGAAGAGAATTCACGCTCTTTACCGATCACAAACCTCTTACCTTCTCTTTAAGTTCATCTTCAGACAAGTACTCACCAAGAGAGTCTCGACAACTCGACTACATTTCGCAGTTTACTTCAGACATACAACATATTTCTGGAGCAAACAATGTAGTCGCAGACGCCTTGTCTCGAATTAGCTCCTTGAACAGTTTCCAAGGAATCGACCTTCTTAAACTCGCTCAGCTTCAAAAAGAAGACATTGATCTTCAGCATGAGTTAGCCTCGACAACTCTTAAACTAAGTATTAGGCAGATGGGAACAGGTAAGGAAACCTTACTCTGTGACACATCTACAGGTAGGGATCGTCCGATTGTACCAAAACACTATCGCCGCAACGTCTTCAATACGTTGCACAATCTTTCTCATCCAGGTGCTCGTGCAACAATCGAACTTATAGCCGAACGCTTTTGTTGGCCTGGCATGAATAAAGACGTGAGGGAGTGGTCACGCTCCTGTGTAAGCTGTCAGAAATCTAAGGTCGTAAGACACAACAAATGTCCCTTAGGTTCTTTCAAAACCCCTGACGCTCGATTCGACCACGTCCATCTAGATTTGGTAGGACCCTTACCCGACTCGAACGGATACTCATATCTCCTAACATGCGTAGACCGTTTTACTCGATGGCCAGAAGCAGTACCGATTAAGGACATTACTGCTGAAACAGTGGCTCGCACTTTCGTCGAACGATGGGTAGCAAATTTCGGCTGCCCTTCAACCATCACTACAGACCGCGGACGCCAGTTCGAATCTGGACTTTTCCGTTGTCTGACCACACTTTTAGGAATCACGCGCTTCCGAACGACCGCCTACCACCCACAAGCAAACGGGTTGGTAGAACGTTTTCATCGACAATTAAAAGCTTCATTATCAGCTTCAAACGTTTCACAGTGGACAGACGCTCTTCCACTCGTCTTGCTAGGTATCCGCAATGCAGTGAAAGCTGACATTGGATACACGGCATCTCAACTCGTTTACGGAACGACACTCCGACTCCCAGGAGAATTCGTGGATCCTTCAGCTTCTTCATTGAACATGGATCTAAACTCTTACACGAGTAGGCTTACAAACGCTATGCGTTCAGTTAAACCTGCTCACACTCGACCTCAATCAACTGATGTTTTCGTTCAACCCGAACTACGACATAGTACACACGTCTTCGTTCGTCGAGACTCACATCGACGACCCCTCGAATCAGCATACGAAGGACCCTTCAAAGTTCTTCAACGCGAACCTAAGTACTATGTAGTCGACAAGAACGGTACGAAAGATAGCATCAGTATCGATCGACTCAAAGCTGCGTACCTAGAAGGAAACCCTAGCTACGTAGATTTTCCTTCGGTACAAGCAAACGACACAGCTACTACACTCGTAGTACCCTACACGACAACCGACACACAACTTGATACTTCGTCAACATCGATAGAAAAACCTAAAACAACGCGTTCTGGAAGACGAGTAAGATTTCCAGAACATCTTAACGAATATTGCACGTAGGACATAAGCTTTATCTGGAATTACTTTAAAGTTTATTATAAATTTTTTTTAATATGCTCATTTTTTATTTATGTAAAAAAAACAAAAAAAACATTTTTTTTGAACGTATATATATATATATTTATATATTAAAAAAAAAACCCAAAAGAAAACCTTTTTTCCGATCGCTTTTACGCTGTTTGTAAGTGTATCAGTTTATTTTTTTCCGCTCATCTTGTGTCCTTACGCAAGTACGAGTGTATTTTTGACATGCACTCACACGTTTTATTTTTCCTCTTTTCCAGGACGGCTGGAAAAGAACGACGAAGTTTCGCAAGGAACAGAAATTTTCATTGTACTATATTTCTTTATTTGCTACGTTGTACATTTTGGTCCCATAGTTTAAGGAAAGACGACCAGACGCTGCTAAACGAAGCAAGCTATCAGAAGAGTGTTTACCAACGACAAATTCGTTGGGTTTAAACTTCTGGCTGGTCACGTCTTAGGGGCATCACTACCTCACTAGGGGGGGAGTGATCTGTAGCTGTAAATAATTCCCCAAAATCAATAGCTCATTAAGTGTTCGACATTGGATGCTGACCACGTTGTTTAAGTGGACTTGTTTAGCTGAAGGCTTTCGGTCATGCATCCGCACCAGATCACGTTTCAATACTGCGTGGGACACAGCTCCTACGTTTCATTAGCCAGCTCATAGAAAAGGTCCTCGATATATTGGTAACGAATCAAATATATCTTTCCTGCCTCTTCTCGTTTGACTTCTGATTTTCTATCTGACTGGAAACAACCGAATTTAGAAGGTGCTACTGGTATCTAGTTGTAAAACTAGAATATCCGTTGCATCATCAGTGGGGTCTCTCAGGGTTCAGTACTAGGACCTCTTCAATCCTTAATTTACATAAACAATTTTCTAGAGCAATTATAGTCAGAGTTACTACTTTTCGCTGACTATGTAAAACTCCAAAGAGAAGTTTGCGACCAGGGGGATAAACTGGTACTTACGAGGTATCTGACTCGATTTCAAAGTTGAGCAGATGAAAACGGGCTTATCTTTGATAGCTTCGAAGTATAAAGTAACCCATTTGAGTTATGTTACAGACTGACATAGACACAACATAGCAAAATGAACTGTAGGCAAGTATTTTCCTATTCACGAGCAGTCTAATTCTGGAATACTCTCCCGACTAAGGTGGTCCAATTAGGTTATCAGGAGTTCTATAAAAGAAAAAGTGACATATTCTTAAGGACTAATGTCAGTATCTCTTCTATCGTTAAATATACCTAGGTCCTTACCTGGAGACATCGGTGATTTACTGCTACTAGATGCGAAGTCCCGTGAAGCGAAAGTTTATTCTACTCCGTCAAGAACAGTTCGAACCGTTTACGAACCAATCAAAACTCAAATAGAGATCTGGCGCAGTTTCCAACTTGCAACTTCTTTCTTGATGTCTTCTTGTTGATGTCTGTTGTCCCGACTAAGATCTCTCAAAGGGAATTTCAGAGTTTAGAAAGCCACATATTATCTAAAAATTAAAAGATATTTCGAAAATTATTCTGTAATCATTAATTTTCAAACGTTTATATCCACTTTCAGTGGAAGTGAACAATTATTTATATTCCTTGAGAATTTTCATATCTTTCAGCCTTTAATCCCAGAAGTTAACGTACATCTTAAATCACGAGTCGTATTAAGCAATTTATGTGCAGAAGTTTGAACTTACACTAATCGCCTTGTACAGATGAAGTTATGGTACATCATGCCGATTGGTGACTTATTACTATTAGTGACTCATTTACTAGGTACAAATTTGGCCACCTGACTTCAAGCCAATGTGGCTGCAGGTGGCTAAAGTCCTAATACATTAACTACTAAGCCACTGCTCCAGTGGATGTTTCCAAACATTAATTTGACCGGTCAACATTGTGACACTGATATTGGTCTTTGGAATGTTTTTTTTTCTTATTAGAGAGTGTTGAAATAATAAAACGCCCAAGTTAACAAACTTAAACTACAGTGGCTTGTAGTTTCTTTTGGTCTTTGTCATGAGTGTTTGTCAAGCCGTAAGTCTCAGTGTCTCCATCTCAGTACTAAACACGGGCTTTATCAGCTTGGTCACGTTTTACATGTTTTGACCCGATATTCTCTACATTGCTCGTCGCTTACCAGTTGCGATGCTAGTCTGAAAAAAATAGAAAGCTAGGAGCTCAGTCGCACATAGTGAAGGATGGCTGTGTTCGGTTATTATCTAATGGTTTACCATGAAACACCAATTGGACATATGCTTTGCCCAGTGGGGGTTTTCATGTTGTATCTCTGTCAGGTGTTAGGAGCTTCTAACAATAAAATCCATCTTGGTTGTGTGCTTATTCAAACTATATTTCTCATTACATTTTTGTCTATATATTGGTTGTGTGATTTCTAATCCTTTGTAATACTTTCACTTCAAATTATGTAGTACGTGTAGTGGTGCCTATTGGTATCAAGATTTTCTATTAATTCCACCTCAGCTTTTGACCATTATTCCAAATGTCTAAACATCGTTTTATTATTATTTGTTATTATTTATCTAAACCTAAACATTGGTACAAGGGGGCACCAAGTATATATGCGCCATATAAATCATTCAATTTGTGTGGGGGTTGGGACAAACCGATGTGGGTGATTCTTTTAGGGGCCACACCTCGAGCCTTTGACCTAAAGGTCTGATCCACAAGGCAGTGGAGCAACGTCAGAGACGCATTCCTATGGTAGATGGTGACCAACAATAGGTTCATACGCCATTTGTTCCCTTCAGGATCCTGGAGTCCATGCGCACCATTGATTTGGAATCAGGGTTTCCAACTCCCCTAGATGGATCCTCCGTATTCATCAACCAGGTTAAAGCGCCGGACATTTGCTTTTCGCCCTCTCTATTTCGTAAACAACAGTGATGCTGCGAGAAGGCATTGAGTAGGACTTCCCTGGCAGTGGTTGTATGCACGTGGCCATGTGAGAGCATTTCGAGAGGGAGAGCTAACTTTCTCTACTCTCGGCCATATAGGCGCATTTGGGAGCACTGCTTTACTTTTTCCTATGTAGTAGTTTTAATGTTGGACGTAGTTTACGGAACAAAGTGGATAAATAGCTTATACTCAGAGGTTCGGAAGATCGAATGGTAGACAACAAATCTCTGGCAAATCTTGAGAGGTACTGTAGTAAGCTTTTTGTACCAAAGTAAACAAAAAACTAATGGTATTGCCATCAATTCTAGAACTTTTTGATGCAATCATTAGGATCATGTGAATACGTACATTCAGTTCGAAAACTTTAGTAGTTTTATATTATGTGTAGTACCACATTGTGATATGGAACTAGGACGTTCCGAATCAAATCTAGTTATTACGGATGTAAGAACAAGAGAAATAACAGTAGCGTTCTGACAAAAACACTAGGAGACCACTAATTCTTTGACAAATTCTAAACATTTTTCGACTTTAAAAGTGGATAAAGGGTTGGGATTTGTTCTTGATAAAAAATTTCGGTAGCTGACTAACCAGAATGATCTTGTTGGCTGTATTAAGAATAACCTTATCAAATCTTCAGGGATGCTCAAATATTAATATATTTTTTTGTCAAACTTGTACGAAACAATTAGGGCGATGGGGATTTATTTATCAAGGTTATTTGAGTTGTTAAGTGTCTCATCGTGACCAACAGATATGTATAACTTCTCTTATACTATAGTAAATTGGTTGGTAACTACTTTGAAACCACTCTACAAGCACATTGTGAAGCAGTGTGAACTATGTGTTTCAAATTGTCAACAAGACCAAACGTGTGAACACTTCAGAACAAAGGCAGGGTCTCTAGATGTAACATCATGATTCTTAAGTGTTCCAATCATGGTGACCGTCGAATGTATATGTCGGTGACTTGGAAGAAATGAAACAGCGAAATCTCATTTGGCATCATAAAAGTGTTATTACTTTATCACAATGAATATTTATTTTTAACGGCGAAATCTACGGATAAATAATTAGCCTAAATGAGTTTACCATCAAGTCTATATTAGCTGACGCATTTCCAGCTTGTAAACGGTCCGCTTAATAAGTTTACACATGAGTTCAAACTTTGCTATCGTGTGGTGGATACAGTTATCATTTACAGAGATAGTACTAGAGGCCATAGACAATTGAGTGAAGTATACCCTGTCACTGAGTTCACAGGTGAATATAAGCGTTAAGGTAGAGTGTTTTGCTGTGGAGCATATGTATCCGGTGCCCTTTGTACCAATATGTATGTGATTAAATAAATAAAAAAAGCGTGTTTTGCCAGCGAAATGAGCTGATAGATTGATAAGAAAGTTAAACAACAAAATGCATCGGCGGTGACAAACATATTTCTCCAGCCTTGTGTTCCTGCAGTACACAAAAAACTTAATAACATCAGCATAGCGGCTATATGCTCACTGATACGATCAAAGAAAATCTGAAAGACGTATAATACTCAGAAAAGTTAGTACTGTGGAATATTCACAAACAAATATCTTGCTACGAATCTTGCAAAACAGGTGTTCGGACCTCTAATAGGAGATCTCTACGTGCTTACAATTTAGAGGCTGTGCAGCCAGTGAAGTAATAATCCCGAGATTACCCACGACAGTGTAGAGAGTGTTAAACAACAAATGTTTTCCATGCTTATGATGATGACATGTACTTAAAGGCTGATTAACCAAACTATCAAGCTCTTTGTGTTTAACTATTGAATTACTGCGTAGCAAGTCACACCGATGATTCGGGGACTAACGTTTTCCTATTCCTTAATCTGTTCCGTTATGGGTAAGCGAAATAATAAGACCGTAAATAACTCAATCCCACCATATTTGGTTCAGACGAATTATGCAGCCAGGATAAATCCCTTCCAATGTCTGTCAAATGGCAGAAGCAATTGCTCTAGTGATTGAAATAGTGGAGCATAGTGTGTAACATGAACATCTCCTACATCTTCCCATACTTTGTATTGAGTTAACATTTTCACTCAATTTATATCATTTTACGCACTACGTAATCCTCCACAAAACACTTTCTATAATTCTCAGTCACATTATTTTTCTCTTCACCGTACCTATGTTTATTTTGACTGTTAGTCTTACAATTTGAGTTGATTTATAGACTTATTTAAGTTTCATTATTAGCAATCTAGTAACAATCCTAAATTCATGTGCTATATTTTCAAAGGACATGTTTGCTTTAAACTTGTTCATTTTATTAGTTCATTAATTTGGTCTTACGAGTGTAGAACATGAGAATATATTGAAAAAATATTTTTGTCCGTATATCTCTTTTTCATAATGGTAAATTTGCGATGAGTTAACGTTTCTTTATTATTTATATTTAAATGGATTTGTAATGCTTTTTGATTTCAGGCATCTCAAGATTGGCATCGTGATGCAGCCATTTTGGCTCGCCTCATTAAGGATAATAAGGGAAGTGTTGTCATTTATACTGGTGCTGGCATAAGTACATCGGCGTGCATCCCAGATTATAGAGGGACAAACGGTTTGTGGACTGCGCAGTCAAATCGCGTAACAGGCGTTAATTCAGGTATCAGGTTATGAACAGATTATTAGTTTAGTGCTACCTACCGTTGGTTTTAACAAAAATGATCAAGCGCAATGTACTGAGGTCCCAAAACTACAGGTATAATACAAAATATCTGCACTTTATTTATTAGGATAAAATACCCGAATGTGAATCACGGATTAAAACTTCCAAAAAGTCAAAAAATACCAACTTAAAGTTACGACTTCCAGAAGCAACCATTGCAAAGCCAACATTCACTCATATGGCTATCAAAGTTTTGGTAGATGAAGGATATGTACGTACCAACTTAATAGTATGAATTTGGTTTTTTTTAACTTGTTCTTGAAACCCATGTAATTGCCTTTGACTTAATAAAATTGTAGTAATCGCAGGATCTTTAATAAGCTGTCACTTTACTATGAACACTTTTAAACTGATGAATTTATACCAACCATAAAAAGGAGATTCACTGTAGATAGCGTTGATGAAGCACATGTACCAACTGATATACCCTAAGGGGATGGTTGCAACTATATGAAGGTATTTGTTTTAGATGTATGCTGTTTCGGAAAGTTTTCGTAGCACAAGTTTTTGTTTTGTAAGGATTTTCGTTCTCACAAGTTCAGTTACTATCGTTCAAATGAAATCAAATTCTTTTTAAACTTTTTAGTTGGAATTATAGGTTTCAGTGAGAAATGTTATGAAACGTTATAATCAAAGCTCTCTTGTAGAGACTTTGATTCCACAAAATGATTGTTGTTGCAGCTGTTACATGAAAATTCCTATCAGCTTAAAATGTGCAGCATTACTGTTATTACATCTTAGTTTGCTGTCCTGTTTGATATAAGCTGTTGTTGAAAGTTGCTATGTTCAGTTGACTGTAATGTTTGAAATACACAGGATGTTATTTTGTTGACAGAAATAAACAGCACTGGTTGCATAAAAAGCAGGTTGTATGGTCGGTACTTTTACACTGAAAGAGGTTAAGCGAATAGTTTAAATTTCTTCGGGTTTTACATGTTCTTCACCCGTGAAAAGAGAAAGCTGTGGATCAGCCAAATATACTGTTTTAGGGCTTGATCGTTGCACTTTCGGTATTGAAATACAGCATCCGTGTAATTCCCATATGGTCAAGGGAGAAGTAGTTTGCCATCATATCTATGTTCGTCTAGCAAAATGACTCATCAAAGTGTCTTCAACCCCTCTAGCATGGCGGACTTCATGGATAGACGTTCCAGTCAGCCTAATTTGACTGTTACTGTAATTAACATATGTATGTAAGACAAGGGTTTCTTCTTATCTCAAAATTCTCTTCATCATTTCTTTATTCTTTTGTGTCAGTGATCATTTTGCTACTTAACTGTAAAGGTATTTACCAGTCCAAATGCTCATGCAACTAAATTTGTACCTAGGGTTTCTCAGTATCTATATAAATGTTTCAGCAAACAATACAATATCGAACTAACTTTTTTGTTTCTTCATTCGAGCTTCACTTACTGTTGACATTAGCAGTCATATTGAACTGATAGACTATTAGCTATGTTGATGATTAACGAGAATTTTCATCTCTGCATAATCTCAGGTTCGACACGTCGTTTCTCAAAATGTTGATGGCTTACATGTGCGCAGTGGTTTAAGTCGTGAAAAACTTTCGGAGCTACATGGTAATTTATTTATTGAAGTGAGTGTACTTGTACTTATGTATAAACTAAGTTATTTTTGAAGAAACTATTTTATGTATCTATCTCTGGTGTTAAAATCGACTATTTTCTGTTTCGACACTGGAATTTTGAATCAAAGTACACAGTACCCACTGAGGTTTTAACTGATAGTTGATGGCTTATTACCCAATCCATAAATATCTATTTAGGTGTTTAATTAAGTCTCTGGATTTCGGTTCTCTCGATAAGAAAGTTAATAAGCTGAAAACAAATGTATTTTCATTCCACGAAGAACTATTTTTGACTCACTTAAAATTTAAACACACCGATAATGATACTTTTCAATCTCAATGATCAAACCTTTTGTGCTATCTAAGGTTTACCCTTTAATCTAGGATTGCATAGCATCACTCCACCAATACTCACAGAACGCTGTTCTCAGGTAGTTGTTAGAATAAAATCCGTCAATGATGTTCTGATTAGAGTGGGGAGTCGTACTTGTCACTTGAAGTCGAAATGAGGCTTTACTAGTATAAACAGATTGTCTATGCTGTCTTCAAAAATTTATTAAGATGTAGTTACTTTTGCAAGTGTGTGTCTAACCAACACTCAGAATTTGAATAGAGGTCTATATTTCAAGATATAAATTATACCTTACAATAATTGATTACTTAGTCGTAATATGTGAATCTACAGTTGGAATTCAAATACATAAACCAGTGAATTAAAATATCGTACTTCTGATTTTTGCAAATATATAGCTGTTTTTCTTCTGTTTGGGTTTTGTAAATTATTTCACCTTTCGTTTAATTATTTATAAGGTTTGTTTTGTGAAACAAATGAAGAAAGTGATTTGTAGTATAAATCATATTTTGCCTTGATATTTTTTGTTTTAGCAATGCATCGCCTGTGAATACGCTGTTTTCCGGACTTTTGACGTCGCCGAAACAACTTCTCGTTCACACCATTTTACTGGACGCATTTGTCCTCAGTGTCGTAATTTACACCCTGTTGAAAGTACAATAGCCAGTGATATACTAAGAAAAACAGCTGAACATTTGGCAGTATCTAGATACAAGAAAAATGTATCAAATGAAAATCTTATGTTGAGTTACCGATATGCTGCAAGAAAATTAGCCAGATCTTTTGAAGGTGTACGTCTTAAAGCAGTGGAACATTTACGCAATACTCAAAAGTCTGAGATGCCGACGGACTCAGTTCTTACGAAGGCACCTTTGCTAAGAGATGTTGTTGTACACTTTTTTGAACGACAACCGGAGATGGGGTTAACAGAAATATATCGCATTCGATCAGCAATCGAAGCTGTACATGGCCGTAAAGTTCTTCAAGATGCTGTCAATGCCACTTCAAATGACTGTAAAGTTTTGGATCATGGATGCAAACGTTCCCATGAAGAGTCAAAAAAATATCTCATTGGATCCCCATGGTTTAAAAGAATGCGTCCTGCTATGAAGATGGAATGTCAAGATTTTTGTAAGACATCAGAAGCAGTTGGTGTAAAACCTATCTCTCCGGATTCTCTGGATACTCCCGCTAAATTAATTGTTGTTGTTGGTTCATCTTTAACTGTTTTGCGCAATTATTCATTTTTATGGCCTTATGGCCTTGGGAGGTGTGGTCAACTAAGTTCATCGAGCAAACATATAAAGAAACCCACATGTGTTGATTCTCTTTTAAAATCGACTTCAATCCCTGATACCCCTGGAAATTGTCGGTTGGTTATTATTAATTTGCAACCAACATGCAAAGATGTGGTTGCTGATTTGGTAATTCGTGTTCCTTGCGATGAATTATTTCGCGTTATCATGTCAGATCACTTAGAAATAGATGTTCCACAATATGACCACAGGCATGATCCTCTTTATTCAATCGGTCTTTCTTTATCTCCAGAAGAAGAATGCACACGTACTCGTCCGAACATCCCATTTTCTTCCGTATAATATTGTTTCAAAATTTTTCATTCTGTGGTGTACAGTTTCACATGATTTGGTTGTAGCTACTGATTACTGTTTCGTTCTTTAGACGTAGAATAAACGTTTCTCTTTTGTACTCAAAACAAGAACCAGTACCTTTGTAAATAATGTGTATTTCCATAATTCAAAGAACCTAATAGAATTGCATCGTATCATGGTAGTTTATCTGCTCTCGAATTAAACATGAATTCATGACAACAATCGGTCAGTTCCTGAATACTAAAAGGTACATTTCACTTATGGCTCTAGTTGAGAATATTTTCTTTTCTCTCTCCTGATCTTTAGCCTGTCCATTTTTGTATAAAATTCTATTATTTATAGTATTTTTTCATATTAAGGAGAACTAAGAGACAAAATAAATATTATCGTTGTGAACTTCCTAAAACACCACTGATCCAATATTGAGATGTCTACTGCGGGAATCGAAGTGTTTCAGATAGAATTATGTCGAATTCCTCGTAGTTTGAATATCTAAACTTTGGCCACACCTCGTTAGGTATATTTTTTTCAGATTTTTACTCAGTTCAATAGTTCAAGAAGTTGGTCTGTTACTGTTTTGACTATGTAGCTAGAGCATCTGAAGTGTCTTAGTTTACTTAATAAGTTCTTGTTGTTATTGATTGATCTGTGGTTTTGTAAGACCAGCAGCTTAGTGATCAAGACACTGGCCCCAACTATAAGTCTCAGATTTTAAGCACTCTCAACCTACTTCAACTTTCCCGACATAGGTATTATTATTTCCTCCCTTCTCACACATACAAACAATATACCTGGAAATGGAGTTCACAAACCCGTACTTGGTAAATGAATTACCTTAATAATTATTGCCTTCCAAGCTGCATGATGAAGTGAAATATACCTAATTCATATTTGTTACTTGCGTGTTTATCATGTTTACATTTTGTTAACTAGTTTGCATTTCACTCATGTTTCATTTTTTTGGGGTTCATATTTTTCTTAGATTTTAAAGACAATAAATTAACAATTAGAAAGTTATAAACAAAGAATATTACTGAATATATTCAGTATAAAAAAGAAAACATTTTTAAAAATGAAAATAACAGATACCTTTTATTTACAGCTCAGTGACTGAATCATGTTAGTAGATACAAACTCCTCGATAAGGGTAGACGCGCTTATCACAACCAGTTGTCGTAGAAGTTGGGTGACATAGTTCGCATTGATGTAGATGCTTTCACTCGTTTTCTTTTATTAGACCTTAAGTTTCAAAATTACCTTACATTTCATTTTATTATTCTTCAAGTTTACTTTTCTTGAATCGTATTGACTATGCCTGATCTTATCTACTACTACTACTACTACTACTACTACTGATATAACACTTATTATTCTAGGATTGATCGTAATTTCATCTCATGCTAATGTGATGTGGTAATTTGAACGGATGCACATAAGTGCCGGATTCTACTTCGCGCAATGCTGACTGGCTTACTGATAGCTCAATGACAAAGTACAGGTGATTTTACTAAAATCTGGTCTGAACCGTTAATGTTAGGGTTATATACACTGCTGTATGTAGGATTCAGTCTTGTAAGTCACTTACAATCAAGAACTCAGTCATGATCTAGATGACATCGGATGCTGTTAAAAGAACTACTCCATAAGTTTAACAAAAAACATTAACTTTCTATTTCACATTCAACTTAGATATAATTTGATTTCGAGGTTATATTTCATATCTGTTCAGAATGAATTAGAACTTCAAAATTAAGTGTTACATTTATATATGTTAAATGCAAAATTGGGTTTGATCATGATGTAATATGAACGTCTTTACACATACCACCTAGAATAATTTAGGTTTGTATTAACTAATTAAATTAAATTATTACAGTATACGATAAAGCAAGCAAACAGAATGTTAACATCTTGATAGAAACTGAAGATCTATTATCAGTATTACACCAGTCTTTGGAGCAAGTCGCAATGCATCCGTGGTATAAGTCATCATCTAATTGGAATTGTCCACAGTGAGTTGGTATATCGGTTAGTTTATCCATGGAACATCTCCGTATCAGTAAACTGGAACCATCTTTCTGACGAATACCCTTTATTTTTGAGCAGTAGTGGGCATAAAAGAGACCCTCATGTCCAGGTATCGTTTGACGACATGGTCGTTGAATTGTGATATAAGCACTGACTGGATCCTCACATGGTGGGTTACTTTTGTTCATTGACACACAAGAATAACAGGCGATTGCTGTTGCTATGAAGTGATCATTAAGAGAAATGCAGCAAGTTTTTATTATATGGTATGACGAACGCATTACATATTTTTAATTACAAAAGGAACGTTTATTTATCGTCATTATTTTCCTTTCTACATAGGTTCTCCGATTTTGCAGTTTTTATTGATATTTGATTGGCTTTCTTAGTAATGAAGTGTAGCTTATTTGATAAATACTCAATGTAGCTTTAAAAATATACTGGAGTTAACTAATTATCGAAGTCGAACTAATTAATTCTATATACATGTTCATTGTGTTATCACCGTTGCTGCTACCTTGACGTGGTGGTCGGGCTTGCCTATCGTGATGAAGCAATCGAGCTATGCTGGCTGGAACAATCGTTCCTCAAGGTCCTACCATGCCAGACAGGTCGGTTGAAGAGCGGTAAGACTAAAAGCAGCAATCCCAAGGTCCGAAGGCGAAGTCGTACTGCCGACTGTACAGAGGTGTGACGGCAGTAAGGTGTTTCCTTCAGACAACCAGCATGACAGCGATGCTGCCTTCCCACAAGGAGGGGTGGGGTTAGAAAAGGTCGACCCTAAAAATGCACACCTCGCCTTATCCCACGGATATCCGTCTCCGGCGGTAAGGTTTTTTTTGAAGAACGGAGCTAATACAAAAACTACCCACAAAAAGGTCGTGTGTGACCGACCTCAAGCAGTTGTCCCTTGGGCACTGCGGTCACGCTCTCAGGTCATTAAGACCACTTCTAACCCAATTTCCTTTTCAGGTACCCCCAGGAGAACCCTTCCACGGTGTGGGCAACCGGGAAGTGATAACTGCCCTCATACCTCTAACAGCACTCAAGACCACCGTATTCATAATCAATCTCCTTCAATTCCTACTATTCCTTCTACCTTGACTTTCAACGCTAAACTTCCTGTTCCGGTTTCCTCCTCAAGTGTCACCATGGCCAACGATTCTAGTGCGCGGAACGCTGTCCCAGGTCTACTTAAACCTCGCTCCAAACTATACATTGGAGCCTTCAACGTACGTACCCTATGCCAAATCGGTCAACAGGCCTCCTTAGCTAAAACCCTAGAATCTCGTACCATTGATGTATGCTGTGTCTCCGAAACACGCATACAGGATCCCAGTGTGGTCATTCACTTGACCTCACCTCGCCAAAATGGACAGCCAACGAAATACACCCTCCGTGTATCTGGCGACCCGTTGGCTAGTTCTCGCGGACTTGCAGGTGTAGGCATAGCACTAAGTACAAGGGCAGAACAGGCACTATTAGAATGGATCCCCGTTAACAGTCGCCTGTGTGCTGTCCGGCTGAATGGCTCCGTAAGAACTCGGAAGGATAGGAACACACGTCGTTGCCTTTTCGTCGTTTCTGCCTACGCTCCCACCGACTGCAGCCATGATGAAATGAAAGATGACTTTTACAGAAAGCTTTTTGAGCTTCTTCAGAAAGCTAAGCGCTCAGACATAGTACTCATAGCGGGTGACTTTAATGCCCAGGTAGGCAGCTTGAGTCAAACAGAAAGACATTTAGGTGGGTGTTTTAGTATTCCGGCTCAACGAACCGATAATGGTGATCGTCTGTTGCAACTATGCTCAGACAATCGTTTATTTTTAGCAAGCACTAATTTTAAACATAAGGTGAGACATCGTCTAACATGGCGACCACCTGCACCAAACCAACGATGGACTCAAATAGACCATATTGTCATCAGTCATCGTTGGAGAGGCTCAATAGAAGATTGTCGCTCGTATTGGAATACTTGTTTAGACTCTGATCACGCTTTAATACGAATGCGCATTTGTCTGCGCCTCAATGGACGCAGGAAAAGTACACTAAGAAGACCCATTAGGATTGAACTGGAGGACGAGAAAGCCAAGTGCGAATTCCAGAAACAACTGAGTTCACATCTAGGCAGTTCTGTAAACAAGACTGACACAGATGCTGCTTGGAAAGACATACGAACAGCTGTGGAAACAGCAGTTACATCTATTAGTCATTTAAACCATAGGGCTCCAAAAAACCAATGGATTTCTTTTAAGTCTATTTCACTGATGGATTCGCGTAAACTCATCCCATCAGGCTCTGAACATGACGAAGAGCGTAAACAAATTAGATCTAGGTTAACTAAAAGTCTAAGGAACGATCGTGAGTAGTGGTGGGCAACGAAAGCAAAAGAGATGGAAAAGGCAGTGGCTGTAGGGAACACCAGGCAACTATTCAGACTAATAAAAGAAACCGGAATTAAGAAGTCAAGTGTAAGTGAGACAATCTCCGAAAAAGACGGAACCCTTATCTGCTCTCAACCCAAACGTTTAGAACGATGGGCGGAACACTTTAAGGAGCAGTTTAGCTGGCCTTCAGCTACTGCACAACTACCCACTATTCCTAGAAAACCTGAATGGAACATTGAAGTAGGCCCCCCGACCCTACTTGAAGTTCAAAAGGCTATAGGTAATCTGAAACGAGGAAGAGCAGCTGGTCCAGATGGATTGGCTCCAGAGGTCTTTAAATATGGTGGTCCGATTTTAGCGATTAGGTTGACTAATATTCTGGCTAAAATCTGGGAGACGGATGTAATCCCATCCGACTGGTCACAATCACTGATTGTCCCAATATATAAAAAGGGGTCAAAATCATCCTGCGATAACCATAGAGGGATTAGTCTGACCAACATAGCATCTAAAATACTAGCCTCAATAATTATCGGGCGCCTAACTAAGACTCGTGAACTGCAAACACGAGAAAATCAGGCTGGCTTCAGACCTGGTCGTGGCTGTATCGACCACATATTCACCATTCGTCAAGTTTTAGAACACAGACACGCTTATCGGCGTCCGACAATGATAGTTTTTTTTGACTTGAAAGCAGCATTTGACTCTGTAGACCGAGAGGTTCTGTGGCAGTGTCTGTCATTGAAAGGTGTACCTGAGAAGTACATAAACCTTGTGAAGGCTCTTTACTCGAAAACTACCAGTCGAGTGAGAGCTTATGGCGAACTGTCATCTGATTTTACAACCTCAAGTGGTGTCCGTCAAGGCTGTCCACTATCCCCATTTTTGTTTAACTTTATTATAGACCTGTTGCTGGAAATAACACTCTCGTCGACTGAATTTACAGGAATTGATCTCCTACCAGGGGAGCCACTAAGCGACTTAGAATACGCAGATGACATAGTCCTGTTTGGTGAAGACGCTGGCAAAATGCAGAGTTTTCTGTTGGAACTCAGTAATAATGCCAGGATGTATGGGATACGATTCTCCCCATCCAAATGTAAATTTTTACTCCAGGACTGGCCTACATCAACACCTGAACTAAGGATAGGAAGTGAAGTAGTCGAACGCGTCGACAACTTCACTTATCTTGGAAGTCTGATCAGCCCTAATGGGTTGGTGTCTGACGAAATCTCAGCACGGATTCGAAAAGCTCGTTTGGCTTTTGCCAACTTACGTCACCTATGGCGAAGACGAGATATCCGTCTATCAATTAAAGGACGAGTATACTGCACAGCAGTTCGCTCTGTTCTACTTTACGGTTGTGAAACATGGCCATTAAGAGTAGAAGATACTCGTAGGTTACTAGTATTTGACCACAGATGCCTTAGAAATATTGCACGCATCTGCTGGGATCACCGGGTAAGTAATAGTGAGGTTAGACGCAGGGTATTAGGGAACGATGGTAAATCAGTTGATGAGGTGATGAATCTTCATCGACTGAGATGGTTGGGCCATGTGTTACGTATGCCTGAACACCGATTACCACGACGCGCTATGATGACTAGTGTAGGGGATTGTTGGAAGAGAGTTAGGGGCGGCCAAACCAAAACATGGCATCAGTGTTTGAAGTCACTAACTTCTAGTCTGAGCCATGTTGACAGATGCAGACTATCTGGTTGGGGTCCGCGTGACTATCGTAACCAATGGTTGGAGACTCTAGGTGACATGGCTCAGAATCGATCACAATGGCGTAGGTGTATACACTCTTTATCTTCCTTTAAACCTTGAGACTAAAATTGCTTCATATCTCTCTTCCTTCCTATACTATATCCTTATATACAACCTATAATTTATATACTACTACCACCACTAAATTAATTACTTCTATGAACCCGGTGTTCATCTTGTTGTGCTAACGAGGTATGGCAACTTGGACCGATGCATAAATGTGCCTGGTCCTACGTTGTAGCTGACTGACTAGTTTTGTTATGATGCATTAGGTTTCTCACTAGTCATTTCAGGTTATAGAGTGTACATTCCATTAAACCAAGGCTTCATTGCCTTTTTAATCGTTTGAAAGTTGTTCACCGTGAAGTGGCGGCGAAAACAAGTCAACTACAGCTATATACATACAACTGTTTGGATTTGTAGCGTACTAACTAAACACAAATTCTGATTTTAGCTAGTACATGTATCTAGTAATATGATTCGTTTGCTATACTAAGTTGGCTACTTAAAGCAAGTGATACTAGTACATCATAGACTACTATTATTCTTGTGAAATGAAAGGTCCTTCCAATATTACTAATGGTTAGATCAAGGTGTTAGACGACTTGACACTTGTCTTTGCTCCTTTTAACTTTTTGAAGTTGAATACATTTATCAGAAGTGTACTAATTTTGGTTACCATTACGGATTTTTAGGAGAACTGAACAAGTACAACATCTTGCAACAAAATAAAATAGTAACAGAACCTTGAAATTTCAGTAAGTTACTTCTCAAAGTTGAACTTCAGAAAGAATACTGAGCTACACTATAGAGATTTTTACGTTGCTGTAGAAATAGCTAACTTTATTAGGGTACTAAATTTAGCAGCAGGTTGGAGCTAAATGTTCACTAGACTAAAGCTACACTTTAAATAGTCGTTTTATAATCCAGGCGTATTAGAACTCTTATGATATGAAGCTCTGTCCCACCAAAATATAGATATAAAATGGTTCGATAATAAGTCGATAGAATAAGAATTACATATGAAAAACTCACCTACATTCGTTTTACATAATAAGTAAAAAATAATCAATGTAATAATCAAATGGCATAATGTTACAAATGAGATTTTCTGAATACTGAGTACTTTCATATCGATTCATCTCATCATATTCCACAACATCTTAAACTTATTAAAACAGTATAAAGTTCTTTAATGTTGTAAGTGATTCTTGTCCCACAATATACATACTTCCAGTGAAAAATGTTTTACTGTTTGATATCGGTCTAACTTTCATGATGTTCTTATTGGTTAAGAACTAATTATTAGTAGAATCGACAAATTTTTGATTGGTAGTTTTTATTAGATATAGCTTAATTGTGGATTTGTCCATAAACAAGCATCAATAGAATTTAACCATTGATTATAATGATTGAACTGTGAGATTTTGTTGATAAAATAATATTATGTATTCTTTTTGAGGAACATTAATAATTGGAAAAGTCAGTGTAGGACGGAATTGATCGTAATAATGGAATGAACAAGATTTTCTTGATAGTAGTTCTTGTGCATAAAGGAGTATTCTATCTACAAATGAAGCTTTTTTTCTGTAGTTAAATAATAACTAACCCAAATCAGATATCAAAATGTATTTTTTTAGTCGAAAACTTACAAAATGTACTTTCAAAACACTAAGAATATCTTCACTACAAAATTTAGGAATGAAACTCATGGCAATGATTGGTCTACTTTAACCAGTTATGGGATTCGTACGTCCAATTCTTAAATTATTATGTATTCAGACTGCAATTAATAGTAATGGCGTACTTTTTCATACTATACTCAGTCTAGAATATTAAATGATCTTTCATTTACTTACCTCTCTATTTATGTATTTCACTGACTGTATTTTCCTTACTGTCTTGCTATTATTGTAGTATTAGAAAGTTTAACGAATTGAATTATCTCCATTTAGAGTTTCGGGGTTCACTTTGTACAAAACAACTAATCAGTCAATTAATAAACACTGAGAGTTCATAATAGACATAACAATGTATTTATACATAAATAAATGGGATTAGGAATATTTGTTCACATACAATAATTAATATACACGTATTTACAATACAATGCAGAGTAGATAAATTAAGAATAACAACGTAAAAATCCTGGCTAATAATGCGAAAAATGTCTTATCACAGTATAATTTTACGGGATAAACTATTGTACACTTATTCTGTAGGAATTTAAAAAGAAAGAAGAGACTAAGAAGTAAGAAAAGAGAATGAAATTACATAAAGTATTCTTCAAAATGATTCAATTTATTGAATAACAAAATCAGGTAAAGATAAACAACAGAAGTGATGAAAAGAGTAAAGCAGATGGGTAGAATTTTACCAGATTTACATTGCAGAATAAACAAATTACAAGTTAGGTATCATCAATTTTTATATTTCACGAGCACATGGAATTTTGTCAATGAATAGATAAGGTGATTACTGAAAATGGTATTCAGTAGTATAAAATGAATTGAAAATTATTCAGAAGTTCCAATGCCACTATTTTGATTTTAATGGAAATTCATCACTCTGTTTCATCCCTGTAAAACCATTAGTCAAAGAAGACTTAGGTATCACGATCAAAGGATCAAGTAGTCGTTTAACGTTGATGAAATTTCTTTCCAACTCTTTGTGATATTCCGTTTGATCAGAACCGATTAATGATTCATTTAGACGGAGAGCTTCATATGATCTATAATTAGGAATGGACAAAGGTGTAATAAGGAAAAAGTGAGTCAGAAAATTTTGTGTAAGTGGTTGGTAGTTTTAGAAAAACACAAATTGACAAAAAAAACTATCAGCACAGGTTTTTATACAGTTATCTCCTAAGAACACGCTATTAATGGTTACCGATGTAAAACAGGGAATTAAGCCTAAAACAATTAACCTTTTTACTTACTTACTTACGCCTGTTACCCCCAATAAAGCATAGACCAGCATTCTCCAGCCACTCTGTCCTCGGCCTGCCTTTCTGATTCTATCCAGTTGTTGTTCATTCTTCTCATATCTGTCTCTATTTGTCGGCGTAATGTGTTCTTTGGTCTTCTTTTCCTTTGGCCTTCATGATCCCAAGTGAGGGCTTGTCTTGTGATGCAGGTGGGTGCTTTCCTCAATTTATGTCCTATCCATTTCCAGCGCTTTTTCCACTGAAATCTGGTTTGTTCTCTCCCACAGTAGGTGGTTGCTGATAGTGTCTGGCCAACGAATCCGAAGATATTGGTTAGTAAACACTTGTATTTTCTGGTTGATGGCTTTCGCAGCTCTCCAGGTTTCCGCCCTATACAGTAGAACTGTCTTGACATTTGTACTGAAAATTCTGATCTTCGTGTTGGTTGACAATTGTTTTGAGTTCCAGACGTTCTTCAATTGTAAATATGCTGCTCTTGCTTTGCCGATCCGAGAAAGGGTGAGAGTAAGCGACCTTGCCTGACACCGGTCTTTACCTCAAAAGAGTCGGTAGTTGTCCTCCATGAATGATTTGTCAATTTAATTCATCATAGGAATTTCGTATAATATTGACTATCTTCTCAGGCACGCCGTAGTGTTGTTCTTTCCACGCTATCAAATGCTTTCTCGTAGTCATTGAAGTTGATGTGGAGTGATGAATTCCCTTCAGTTGATGGCTCCACAATGATCCGTAGTGTTGCGATTTGGTCTGTACACGATCGATCGTTACAGAATCCAGCCTGTTGGTTTCGAAGGTGGGCGTCTACAGAATCCTTTATTCTGTTTAACAATACCCTGTTGAAGACTTTTCCTGGTATTGGGAGGAGAGTGATGCCCCTGTAGTTATCACAATTGCTGAGATCGCCTTTCTTTCGTATCTTGATGAGGTGTTCTTTTTTCCAGCCTGTTGGTACTTGTTCTTCATCCCAAATCTTACTGAAGAGAATGAGGAGTATTTTCGTACTTATTACTACATGTGCTTTTAATGTGTCTGCCGGAATGTTGTCTAGTCCCGCTGCTTTGCCGCTCTTGATTTGCCTGATAGCTATGCTGATCTTTTCAATTTTTGGTGGACAAAAATCGATTGGGAGGTCCGTGAGTGCTGCTTTGATGTTGGGTGGGTTCAGTAGAGCTGGTCGATTCAAGAGTTCTTTAAAATGTTTTACCCATCTGTTTCGTTGTTCTTCAATGTTAGTTATTGCCTTGCCTTACTTGCTTTTCACTGGTCGTTCTGGTTTACGGTAATTTCCAGCGAGTTTTTTTGTTGTGTCATGTTGTATCTCATGTTTTCTTCTCTAGCAACCTTTTTTCGCCGTCATTGCTGGGTCTTCCACATATTTACGTTTGTCGGCTCTGATGATCCTCTTATTACTTTAAATACTGTTGAGTTTTTTATAAGGTAGTTTAACTCAACAGTATGAGTATAGACTCAATGTAATGTTGCTAAAGATCAGTTAAGTATAGTTCTATTTGACCAGCCTAACTTAAATACTGTGTTGTGGTCCTGTAAATGAAACTCTTCAATGTTAGTCAGATGTAAAATCATAAGGATACATTTCATTTCTCGATTTTTGTGCTTGTATGAAGCATCTCGTAAGTATGAAGACTGAACCAGTTAACTAACAAACTATGAATAGGAATAAATGGAAGCTATCGAGTCAGTGTATGGAATATTCTGTATAGAAGAATCACATATGTATGGATGAATTTCTTGTTTTTATGCTCATAAATGTGTTGTACCATAAAGAATAGTTACCTTTTTGGAGAGAAGCAATTAACTTGGGATGCATTCACAAGACTTTCCAGAATAATTTAGTTAGTTACTAATTAACTTTATTATTCCTCTGCAGTTCATTCATTCAAATGAATGTTTAGGTATACGAATTGATTTAAAAGCTGTTTAGACATATAAGATTTGTACTTTTGTCTGGGAAAATATTTAAGCCAAGCAATTTAACTGTTAATACTCTATTGCCGATAGTAATATATACTGAGTCTTCATTTTCGCTTCAGATTGCAAACACACCTACATATTTTTACAGTACTTCTTTTTAAAAGATATACATTCAGAAATGATGTAGTGAACAATTACTTTATAAGAAATTGTTGAAAAGTTATCCTTAGACGATTTTGTATATCTTCATATGTAGTGGAATTTAATGGTGTAGACGATTTATTCTTATCGGGGATTAATGATTTTAATGGTTTATTTTTTTCATGTCCCAAAAAAGTTGTTGCCATTTCAACAGGTCCTTGGTTAACGACAGTTCCGATGCATCCCTGAAAGAAAAAAAGCGTAACTGTCAATATTCCCAATGAAATCTTACGAAGTTAAAAAACAAATAAATAACATATTGTTGTAGATTGATGAAAATCTTATATATAATAAAAATCGACATTTTAAAGTGTTACTTCTAGTAATAGGCGTTATATTTTTGCATCGTAACTTCTCTTAGATATCCATTCCTAGCAATAGTTTGCCATATTAACTTATTATGCAAAGCAATAATATTATTTTTGCAAAATATCCAAGTTGCATTATACAGTTTTGTACCTGTTGTTATTATCAAACAGTATTTTGCTGTAGTGATGCCCATGAACAATGGGTATCTGCTTAGTGATTTTTAAAACTTGTTTTGTGAACACATGTAATCAAAGTTTGTTTCCTTTCATGTTTAACATGATTATCAGTACCGCATAATGTTGTGTTTCTGTGTACTATACAATATATAATATTTTAGTGAGGTCCAAAATCTAACTCCAATTAGATCGGACGAACGATCGTTATCAAATGCTTGCTATCAAAATATGCATGCCACTAACCCTCGTATGTAATCGTCGACTTAAATCGCGTTAGCGAATAACGAAATTAAACAAGTCAGATACGAGAATGGGATTAAAAATACGTATATTTCATACAATCGTTGATCCAGACTGACGATCAGAAAAACGAAGCAGAACAAAACGAATTGGAGCTGGCATGTGAACCAACTCGATCTAAACAAGCGTGAATCGATATTTATAGTCAAACAAAAATAAGTTACAGACACATAATGAATAAGGTAAGTGATTAACACACAACCATATAAAAAAGTCGGGACTAATAGGCGAATAAGTGACTTGAAAAGAATGAATAGAATGGTCTGT